CCGGCCACGTCCGAGCCTACCAGGCTCACCGCCCCGCCTCAGGCCTCGCACAGGAGGTCTCGGCGTCCTGACGCAATCTCCGCCTCGCGCGAGGCCTCTCACGAAAGGTCTCGGCAAGGAGTCCGATCTCCGTCTCACGCGAGGCCTCTCACGGAAGGCCTCGGCAAGGAGTCCGATCTCCGTCTCGCGCGAGGCCTCATTCTCCGTATCGCTCGAGGCCGGTTTGTCCTTAGGCCGTCACCCCCCGCCTCGACCGACCCTCCCGACAGCACGTCATGTCCCATTAATACGTCAACCACTCCTGCAATCTTAGCCGGACGATGGCTCGACACCGCAGAATGGCCGACGGGACATGGGGTCGCATCAGCACCATACCAGCTAGGACAGGGCACGGTGGGGATTACCGGTCACTATATCCTGACGCTGTGCACACGATCAGCGCCCGCACCACACTATGCCCCGCGATCCCCGCCTCGAAAACAACACTACACGGACAGCTTGGCCCGAGTCATCACCGCCTCTGAGCCAGCGCACCAGATAAGCCGCCCTCTCAGGGCCTTGGCACTGTGCACCAAGGTCTCAGCTATCTCGACATTCGTGTCCGCCGAGACCCTCCGCAGTGGTGCAGCCTCGGCACCAACCAAGCCTCGGCCTCGTGCACAGTCAGTCCACAGCGGCACGCACGTTCGCCGCCGCACCCACTCTGAGGCAGTCCTGGAGCTCCCATGACGCACAGGATCGGATGTGACCACCACGCCGCCCCAGTGCTCCAAGGACGGACCACTCCGACGACCACGCCACCACTGGAGCAGGCTACAGGGCTCGGCCATGCCGCCCCTGTTGGCACGACGCCGTATAGTTAGCACAATGTACTACCCTTGTCCTCCCTTCAACTATAAAAGGAGAGGACTTAGGCCATTTAGAAAGGGGGGGAGAACTCACGGAGAAGAACACCCTGTAACACACACGCACACACTTCCCAGTTGCCTGAGAGCAACGTCTCAAGCAGTCCACGCGACACCTCGCCGAGACCTGGGACTAGCTCCCTCTCTCACCTAGCTTGTAACCCCCTACTACAAGCACTTCGGTGCAAGGAATACAAGATCGATCTCTCAGACTGGACGTAGGGCATCGATTGCCTGAACCAGTATAAACCTTGTGTTTCGTTTCATCACCATCCGGGATTAGGGGCATGCAGTTCAAATTTACTGGTTGGTTGAGGACCCCCCGGTCCGAAACACCGACAATACCGTTTGCAGTCAAATTGGGAATTAATTCCATTCCATGGATGGGATGTTGATGAAGTTGGTCAAAACCCTCTTATGGAGTTATGGTTATTACAATTATAAAGCAACATGGACTTGCACTAAATCTAATATTTGTACAAAAACAGCAAGGCCTTCATGCACCGTAATAAAATAAAATGACATAGCATAGCATGTGCATATGAATCTAATAGTTCCCATCCTAAACTGAACTTCATTCACTATTTGCAGACATGAGGTGCTCAAAAATTGATTATGTTTTCAACATATCATTGAGAACAGAAAAGCATTTTTTAGAGCAAAACAACAATCTGGCACAGAGCATATCACGATTTTGAGAAGACCGAAGAAACAAAATGACTCATGATGTCAGCTGTCAGATCAATATTTGGTCGATTTTCCCCACCGTTCAATTTTCATATAACAAAATAATTTGTATATAAACTGGAGGACTCGATCTGCCCGGTACATTATCCTGACTACAAGAGTACAGTCGACTTGTAATCTTCAGACAGCAAAAGCAACAGATGAGCACACTGGAGACATCTTCATAAAATTCTTTACAACTTTGGTACTCACCATAGAATTTAACTATTTTTAATCTTAGGCACAAGGTAACCAAGTGGTTTCCAACTACCCTGAAATTCGTAATGATTTATTCAACCAAATTTAGTGTTTGAATATTCCATGAAAAAATATTGGAACAATCTAAAGCGATCTAGTACATCATATATCCATCTTCTGCCTTTATAGCCTCTGAAAACCGACTTGATCTACACTGCATACTAATTCCTCACTGTTCAAGGACAGCACAAATTCAGAATTCAAAATCTCCCAAAATATTCAACTAAATTTAGTGTTTAAGCACTGTAAGGAAGTGTAGTGAAATTACACAAGACTAATCACAGAGATAAAAACCAAAGATCTAATAGTGGTTGCACGTGCTTGTTAACTTTTTTTAAGGCCACCATGTGTACTAAGGGCCATGGAAAAGTAAGATTCGCTAATAAACCAAGCAATATGAACTAAGGATCAGGCCCATTCTTACTAAACGATGTACGAAACATAAATTGGATTTTAACGGGACCATTAGCTTCAGGAGGGGAGAGGGAGGCAATTCAGAAAAGGTTGAAGATCATCGAAGCACTTCATTCATAGATTAGGCACACAGAACCGAAGGCATTAAATGGAACAAAGTTAGTACGCATAATACACTTGAAATTGTATCAGATGAAAGCACATAGAACTGTAGGTATGGATCCAATAAAGGACATTTGGTGTGCACATGTACTACTGATAATCTTTCAAAGGGATCGAATTTAGTAGGCATAAGTTGACACCTGTTGGGCGTTCGTCGCTGGTGGCGGCATCATCCGGCGGCAGCCCGTCTAGGTCGACAGGCGGCGTGGAGACGGCTGCACGTTCGACGCTGTCTAGGTGGTGGTCCATCCAGCGCGCGTCCGACGGCAGCCCATTGCCGGGGGCGTTCAGCGGCGGCGGCCCGTCCGGGTTGACGAGGCGGCGTGGAGGCGGTGGCACGGCTGGGTTGGATCGTCCTAACACCGATGGCGACGTGACCAGGTTGCTTCGTCCTGGCACCGATCTGAGCACTAGCCACTGGGTGTGCGGGCGAGAGGGAAGGAGGGAGAGGTGGCGGCGACACAACCAGAGGGCTGGGAGTCACAAGGGACCAGGGGAGGCGCGTGACTAGGGATGAGATCGCCTGGGAGCTGATTGCCCAGGCGAGGTAGAGGTACTCCGTGCCCCCGCCACCGTGCTCCGCCTGCTCCTCTAGGTGCAGCACGCGAGCCTCGTCCTCCACCGTCATCGCAGTCGCGATTGTCGGTGCTGCCGCCCTGGGGGATCATGGCCATTCGGGGCTAGATCACCTCGGGTGCCACCCAGCACCTCACCCGCCGCCCATTCGGCGCTAGATTGCCGCCGCCGCCCGATCCGTCGCAGCGACACCCCACCCGTCGTGCCGCCCTTGGCCTCACACCACCCGCCACGAGGCTTGAGCGATCATGGCGTCCTAGTGGGGTGGGGAGAAGGCGTCGGCATCTCGCTATGATCATGGCGTCGGTGTGGAGTGGTTTGTTATGGAAAGAAAATCAGAGGGAGAGGAAAAGGGATAGGACGGGCTGGGGATCGCAAGAGACGGGCGTAGGAGCAGGGGGTGTGGGATAGCAGCAGGCAGAACCATGAGCCCATGTTGGAATGTCACACCAAAAAATATCCACTCTTTAGTCTTTTTAGTTGTAGGAGATGCATATATAGAGAGAGGTATAGGTATGGATAGATTATGGGACGGAGGATGGAGGAAGTACTCTATCTCTATATCATCACAATGTCAGTAATGCTTATATAGGGCGTTCGGATGGACAGACCCGCGTCGCCCAGTTGCTTTGCGCGCTGCGCGCCCCCGCACGTGGGATAGACCCCGTCCTCGCCCACATCGCCTACTCGCTCTACACATTGTGCTCCCTTGCTCACGGGGCGGACGCCGCCGCCGCTTGCGCCACGCGCCCGCACCCTGTGCCCCTGCCCGAACTCACGCCTCCCGTCACAGCCGCGCTCCATCCGCCTGTCCCGACCCCTGCCGAGGTCCGTGCTGCTGACGAGCTCCACACGAGCAACCTCCACGTTACTCCGTGGCATCGAGCTCCATGCCGTTATCGAGTTTCGCGTCGACGAGCCTCTATTTTCGTCAAATAGCAAGTAGATGTTGCGCTTGAAAGCGCATGTTGCAAGCCTATGTTTCAAGTGTTTCAGATGTTTCATAGGTATGTTGTAATTATTTCATATCGATGTTGCAAAAGTAGATCGGATGTTGCATATGTTGCAATGGTTGTATGCGTATGTTGCAAGCTTCTGTTTTCAATGTTTCATTTGTTTTTTCAGACGTACGTTGCAAATGTGTTTATTTGGATGTTGCATATGTTTCACACATATGTTACAACTATTGTATCTAGATGTTACGTATGTTTTACAATGGTTTTCAGTTGTTTTTGCTAGTATTTCATATGCATATTTCAAGTGTTTCATCTGTCTTCAGACGTGTGTTGCAAGTGTTGCATCTGGATGTTTAAATAGTAGATTGGGTATTGCATCCCCCTCCTTGTCTTTGTGCTGCCTCACCTTGGTGTCTCCTCCTCTCCTTCTATTGCCTTGCATCGTTCTCAGACTATGAAGGGGGCACGGTGGGGCCGATGGTGGGGGTGCGTCAGGGGACAGCGGTGTGGCTGCGAGCGCGCTCTCCCTTTCTGTTACGCGGACAGGAATAGGCTTCCATCGGACTCCAGTTGGTGGGTAGGTATACCACTTCAGTTGCCGGCCCAAGCCCACGTATCAAGTTAACTGGTGGGAGTTGCGTCCAGACACGTTGCTCGGGCTGGACGTTCCCGGCATGTGCAGAAAACATCTAGGAGGACAGGTCCAGTGGTTGACTGGTTGGGCTGGGCTAGCTGGGCGACGGGGCCGATTGGCATCGAAAGTGATGGGGAGGCGAGGCGACCCGATCCGAATGTGATCCGCCGTCCAGCTTCCTACTCGGAGGAGGAGACGGCTCGGTGGCCGGTGGGTCGGTCTCCTCCATCTACAAAAGCGAGGCCGCCCCTCCCATCGCACCCATCAATCCATAGCTTAGGGTTCCACATCCACGCCACAGCGAGTCGAGCTTTTGCGGGGGAAGGAGGATTCGTCGGAGAAGGTCTGACGGAGGTGGCTGCTGATAGGATGTCCGGCGCTCCGCTGACGCCGTGCGGCGGCAAGCATTCGCTGATGGAGAAGGCGCAGGAGGCGGAGGCGGAGGCGGCGGCGGCCGTCTCCTCCCTTTCCCTTTCCTCCGACTCGGAGGGTGGGAAGGCGGCAGCTTCCGCAGCTGGCGCCGGCGACGCCTCGGAATCGTCGGAGACGAATTGGGTGGAGATGCCCCTGCATCACGTGCGCTGGATCCTAGCGCAGAAGCCGGAGATGCACCCAACCCCTAACCAAGGTTTTCATTATCGGAAATAAAAATTTATCGGAGGTCATGGATAAACAGGATAAGCAAGATATATCGGAAATATCGGACCAAATTCAAAAAAAAATTCAAATTGTTTTAAAAAAATTTCGTAGAATTTGACTTGAAACTATTCCTAAGCTATTAAACATCACTTGTTCACCGATAAAAACAAGAATAAAACATTATAGTGTGGGACCGTCGCACGGCTGAATTTGGGTTGTCTGTGTGAGAACAGGAAAGAAGGGAAAAATTTGGCCGATGTCAAATTTTATCGGACCCTGTGGATAGAAAGGAAATTTCAGAAATTTCGGTGAATATCGGCCGATAAAAAAAACCTTGCCCCTAACATCGAGGACTACGAGCTCTACAGGACGCACGACCCCGTGCAGTCGACCGTCTTCTCGCAGGCGAGCATCGACGCTAAGCGGGAGCTGTTCACCGAACTGTTCGTCTCGCTCAGGGAGTCGCACGACGACTTCTTCGAGTACCAGGCCTGGGTCCGCGAGGTGTTCGAGCGGAACGGCCGTGTCATGGTGCCGGAGGAAGTTCTCGGCCCCAGGGACGACTTGCAGGAAGAGATCGATGCCATCTGGGCACGGTGTAGGGAGGAGTATCTCAGGGAACACCCTGAGTTGAGTCAGATTCAGACGAAGAGGGTGAAGAGGAGCATGTGCCTGAACCAGGAAGAAATTGCTGATTACAGATGTACTAGAGGAGTATGGCACAAATGCTGAATTGCTGTTCTTTTACACCCAAATAGCGCGTTATGTCAACGCCTGTCCCTGTGTGTAGCCAAAGTCTATGTGTTATGTCAACACCTGAGTCTGCAACTGATATGTCCTATTGGGTTATTATATATTGCGTTTTAAGTTTTTAATCACATTATCAATTTCTATTCTTGCCTTTTCTTTCATCAGTATTCAGTCCTAACCTCTGCTTTCTGCTACAGCAGTGCAGACGATGCTCTGACCATCAGTCTAATAAAATGTTGTCAATCTAGTTAATCCCATCGTGCCTTTTCCTTTGCCTTATCCTGGAATGACTGGTTTGCTTACTTTTCCCACAGTTTGAGTGGTAAAAAAAACTTTCTATCACCAATTGACATGGGAGCTGATGGTTTTGCACATTGTTGCCATGCTTTAAATCTGTATGATATGATGCGTTGTTATTAACTTTGTCTATTTGACATAACTCCAGTCGTGTGTTGCTTCTCATCACTCTGGTTACTTATTTTAGGCTATTTTGGTGTATCTTTGGTGATTGCTGCACTTGTAATTTTCTTATCCTTGATCTTTAGGTAGAGAATGACTCACCCAATGGGAAACCGAGAGCAGGGTATTACTCTTGAAATGATTCCAAGAGATGCTGGGACCCAACATAGAGGGTTTAGTTGGCCCAGATCTGTGTTCTGTTCCATCATCCTCATGGCTGTGTGATTTACAACAGGTAACGGCTTGGTGTTTTTAGTTACTGCTTATCATCTGTGTGATATCATCATCAATCACGACTTTGGCAGCTAAAGTCACTACCGGAATCCTCAAATTTGCCGAGTGTTTTTGATGTTTGCCGAGTGTATTCCCTCGGGCACTCGGCGAACAAGTGCTTTGCCGAGTGCCGCACTAAAAACACTCGGTAAAAATAAAAACACTCGGCAAACAGGACATTTTACCGAGTGTCAAAACAAAAACACTCGGCAAAGAGGTTGTTTGCCAAGTGTTAAAAAATACACTTGGCAAACAAAAATAAAATCTTTTTTCTGAAAAAAAGGAGAAGAAAAAAAATGAAAAAAAAACTTTGCCAAGTGCTCAGATCCAAAACACTCGGCAAAAAAAAGTAGTAGAAGAAAAAAATTAAAAAAAAACTTTGCCGAGTGCCTCATCTGGGACACTCGGCAAACAACAAAAATATCTACTTAACCTAACCGCGTCCAGCACCCCGCCGTGCCCTCTCTCTCCTCCTCAGAACCTCTCGCGCCTTCTCTCTCCTCCTCCGCGCCCTCTCTCTCCTCCTCCCTCCCTAGAACCGCCCGCCCCTTCTCTCTCCTGCTCCCTCCCGGTGGATCTCCGGCGTCGCCGCGCCCACACCCCCTCTCCTCCTCCCTCCCCATATCCGCCCGCCCCCTCTCTCTCCTCCTCCCTCCCGGCGGATCTTCGGCGCCGCCACGCCCGCGCCCTCTCTCCTCCTCCCTCCCCAGATCCGCCCGTGCCCTCTCTCTCTCCTCCTCCACGCCTTCTCTCTCCTCCTCCCTCCCTAGATCCGCCCGTCCCCTCTCTCTCCTCCTCCCTCCCGACGGATCTCCGGCGCCGCCGCGCCCTCTCTCCACTCTCTCTCTCTCGGGATGGAGGCGGCAGCGGCGAGCGGGGCAGAGGTCTACTCCGGCGGCACGTCTCCCTGTGGTGGAGGTCTGCTCCGGCGGTGCTCCGACGGTGGATCTGGCATGCCACAGCGAGGAGCAGCCCGGATCCGGCGTGGAGCAGCACGGATCCGGCAGGCGCGAGCGAGGTGGCGGCGCTCCTCCACCGGCGTCGGGCCGGCGATGCGGCGCTCCTCCTCCACCTCAGCTCTACGTCATCTCCGGCGCGCCCTCTCTCCTCTCTCCCTCCGGCGAGCTCCACCACCTCGAGCTCCAGATCCGGCGAGCGGGTGGCGGATCCGGCGAGCTCCACCACCTTGAGCTCCAGATCTGGCGCACCCCAGGCGGCGGAGGGGACGGCGGCGCGGATGGTGGTGGCGGCGGCGCTGCTGGTGGTGCGGGCGTGGTGTCGGCGTGTCTTTTTTTATTTTTTTTAAAAAAAAAGTTTGCCGAGTGTTTTTTGGGCACTCGGCAACGTCTTTGCCGAGTGCCCGACAAAAAAACACTCAGCAAACTAGCGTTTGTCGATACAGGGGTTGCCGAGTGTAACACTCGGCAAACCCTTTGCCGAGTGTTTTTTGGGCTTCGCCGAGTGCCCCTGGCACTCGGCAAAGCTCCTGTATCCGGTAGTGAGTTTGACAACAATGAGCAGAGATAGTTCTTGGCAAGGCCATGCCTAGGTTACTGCTCTCTCTATTCAATAAGTTATGCTTCCTTTCCTTTCAGTTGTAGCTGTTTGCTGTTGTAATTTATATCCATTAGATATTTGTGGAGTATCACTAATGGTTTTCTTTACCTCTCAAGGAAGACCAAAAACAGTTTTAGTCCTAGCATTAATTCCTTCATGAGGGATTGGAAGCTTAAACTGTCATACTATGTCACTCAGTTTGTTGAAAAAAGACAAGCCTGCTGTCATGAGGGATTTACTGGACCAGCCTGAATAGCTCAATGCAGATGATGGTTTTTAGTGAGTTAGAGGTATGCAGCTACAGAGCAGCCAAATTCCTGAGGTGTATTGGTGTGCCAGTTTTTGAACAGATTATGCCGTGTTTAAGCAGCACTACTACAGAAACGTTTTCCGCGGCGGGCGAATTTGCTTTTGCGCAGCGGGCAAACGCGTCCGCCAGCGTGAAAAGGTCACGGTAAATCGTGGCCTTCCCGCGGCGGACCGCTTTGCCCGCTGCGGTTAATCGAGTTCCTACGGCGGGCATGTTAGGATGCCCGCTGCGGTTAAACATTTAAAAAAAACAAAAAAAAACCCAGGAACCCACCAGCGAGCCCATTCTCGAGCCCACTGACGAGCCCATTCACAACCCAATACTGGCGCCACCGCACCTCGCTGGATCCGCCGCCGGGGTCTCCACCTTGCCGGATCTGCCGCCGGGGAGGTCATCCTCGCAGGATCTATGCCATTGCCGCAGGTTGGGGCCGTCTCGCCGTGGATCTGTGTCGTCGCCGTGTGGATCCACGTCGTGGGAGCAGGGAGTAGACACGGCCGCCCTGGATCCACTGCCGTGTGGATCCATGTCGTAGGGACTCGACGCGGCCGCCTGGATCCGCCGCCGTGTGGATCACCCGTCCTTGCACGCCACGTAGCTCCTCGCCTACGAGAGAGAGATGAGGGAGGTATTGAGAGGAGAGAGAGGGTGGGAGAGAGAGGGAGAGAGAGATACCGGGCACGGCGGCGTGCAGGTGTGGTGCTCTGTGTCCTTGAGGATCTCGTCGAAGTAGCTGTTCATGGAGCAGCTGCTAGGCGGGTCGGTGCCGAGCGCCGGGCACAGGTACGTGTCCGGGTTGGACAAATCTAGGTCCCCGTCGTCCATTGCTGCTGTGGGAAGGCGGGCGGGCGGGCGGGCGCTGGGCAGTCAAGGGCACATCCACCTGGGAACATGACAAACCATCGGAAAATTGTAAGTATTAGTGCTCCATCGCTGCTCCGGAGACAAACGGATTCGAGGCAGCGGTAGGCGAACAGATTCTACCAGAGACAAACGGAACGAGCAAATCCGTCGGAGCGAAGAGCGGAAGGGGTTCCTTTCCTACCAGCAGCAGTGGGGGAAGGCCAATCCAAGCCCCGGATGGGCGGCGGTTGCGACGACGAGAAGGGGAAAAGGGGCGGAGCGGACCAAGACGAAGGGGAAGAGGAGTGGATGAATCTGGACGGGGACCTGTTGCGCGTAGGGCGGCGGAGGGGAATGAGAGATAAGAGGACTGAAACCCTAAGTGTTCATTTTATACCAGTACCCGCTACGGGCCTCGCCCTGGGCCTATTGGGCCTCGGCCTTAACCGAGGCGGGCTTTATAGGATGCCCGCCGCGGTAAATCTATTTACCGTGGCGGACCTCTTAATATGCCCGCCATGGAAAATAGGTATTTTCTGTGGCGGGCATATTAAGAGGTCCGCCACGGTAAATCGATTTACTGTGGCGGGCAAAAGTGCCCGCCTCAGTAAATAAAAAATGCCCGCCGCGGTAAATCGTGGGATTTACCGCAGCGGGCAAAAATAGGAGCCCGCCGCGGAGAGCGTTATCGCAACGCTGCGCAAATTTGTTTTTGTAGTAGTGCAGTTCTCACTTTCAGGCAACCAATGCTTATCTGCTCACAGGGTAAGAAATTTTGTTTCGATAATGGTCAAGAATCTAGCTTTTGGGTTGGCAGAGATTTGCCTTTTCAATGTATCTCTTGCCAAATTACAGGGCTGAGAACTTGATTTTAGTTGGATATTTATTAAAGTGTAAGATTATCCATGCAAACTTTGCAACAATAGCTACAGTTCATTTGCCTGTGGTTTGTTTCAGTTTGATTACGCAAGGCTGAACTGAAAATACTGCTACCCTGTGTTACAGCTGATGACAATACAGCAACAGAGAAGGGCGTCTCCACTGTAGCAGATACGACAATAGGAAAATACGCCTCTATTGAAGAGGGTCGGCTTCTGTTATGGTCGGCAAAGTCTACCGCAGGAAGAACCGTGGCTGAACGGTGGGCCGCGACAGCGCGATGCGCTTGCCGCGATCACCACGCCACGATGAACCTGGACGCCGTCCAGTGCGCGTGTGCTAGTTACCAGGATCCAAGAATTTAGGTTGATTAGTTCATTTGGTTGTTATCACTTAAGGCTAGTTGAGGTTTGTTAGGCTTTGCTGTATAAGTATCAAACACTTTTGCTTAATGAAGTTTAGCCAGAGATTGAGTTAATCTCTCTCCCTCTTTGGCGCTACAGCCCTCTGTCTCTCTCTCGTTCTCGTCGAGTCTAGGCGCCGAGCACGGCGCCGCCAGTCCGTCACCGGGCATTCAAGCCTTGGCCAGCCATCTCACACTCCTATTCCCTGTAACCCACGTTCACTACAGCAGCCAGTGGCTTCCCCGAGTGCCAGTTGC